AGACTTCGGAGGAATAAACTAGGGCTGCAACTAATCATTATTTTGCAAATTGATTAATATTTTGATTTTTTTTTTTCAGTTAATCATCAGATCCCCAAAGGTTCCTGAAAAACATTTTTTTTAACAGAATTAAACCAGGTGAAACTAAACTTTTCCAGATTTTTTTTTTCAATCTTAAATGCAAAACATTTATATATTTATTTTACAATTTTGGTATAATTACTGCTCTAAGTGAGCCGCTCTGTCAGATAGAGCTACTTTTTACCCTCTCTATACTCCAGTTAATAATTAATTGATTGCTAAATTAATTGACGATTATTTCATTAATCGATTAATCAAGATTAATCCATTTAATCTGATTAATTGTTTCAACCTCATGATAAACAAATTCAACTTTCTTTCTTTTAAGTTGCTTTTGCTAGCATCAAAGATAATGTAAACCGGGGGTCACCAACGCGGTGCCCTCAAGGACCACATGGGGGGCCAGTGGGTTTGAAATTTTATTTTATTCTGATGCTCTTCTTTTTAATCATTTATAGAGATTTCAAAATGAAAATGTCTAAATAAACTTAGAAATTAACAGAAACAATAAAAATATGTTGATAAATAACAAAGTTTAGGCTAACGCTAACCCTTGCAGCTCAATGGTCAGTAATGGTCGCCCTTCCTTAGTCTCGGTACCCTTGAAGTGACCCTCAGCCTTAAAAAGGTTGGTGACCCCTGATGTAAACTATACAATTTGGAGGTAGACGTGTTTATTTTAGTTGTAAATAATAAAAAAAAATAGCCTTAGATATTAATATTTATTTATTTTTTAATGAATCAGTTTAAACTTGGGTTAAGATTATAACTTCTCACTTTTATAGCTTATTTGATAGTATCTAAACAAATTGGAACGAATTGGTTTCTGTGGTTAAAGCTAACAAAAATGAATTGCCCTATAAAACATCAGAAGCTGACTTTTTATGTCATTTTAAATGAAAAGATCCTCAGTTTGATGGATGCATGAATAAATTACGGCCTGTTTTTTTTTTTTTTTGCATCTTTATCAGGATAAAGTTTTGGATTTTTATGCTCCTCTGACCTAGTTTCAAGTTCCTACTGCTTCTACTTTGATTCGATTAAGATCTGCCATATTAAAAGTTCTGCTAAGCTTCTAAGAGAGATTTTGCATTAGCCTAAGCCTGGGCATTAATCTCCATCTACAACCTTCAATTAAAAGATTAAAATCTCATCTTTCAGAGATGTCCTGTGCCAGTTAATTTTTTACTGCATTGCCAGAATAACTTTTTCAGGAAAAAAATCAGAATAGCCTCTTTGTAATGGTTTTCACTCCCTGAGGTCTGAGTTAAAGCTCTGCTTAAGTCTCCAGGTTCCTCTAGTCGGGCCTCGGACTCCCTGGTTCTGTTTCCCAGCTGGAGGATCTCGAGTTACAGCCGGCCCTTAACAACGCCTCCCTCATAGGAGCAGGAGGGGGACAAAGAGGTCTCTGTTGGGTGTGTGTTGAGCTACGCCCAGCAGGCGACCGGTCCTCCGTCGTTTTTGACCACGACCGCAGGCTGAAATGACAGGGAGCTCATGGAGCCTCAGTGTGGGAGTTTGGTGTGGTTCTGTTTTCATGCTGGCAGAGCTGAACCACTCCCAGTCGCTACTTTCTCCACAAAGAATCATCCTTCCCCTGCTTATTGGTCATTTATCTTTAAATTTATGGCAGTTGAAGGAAGAAAAGCTCATTTTTTAGCTCAGATAACGATGAACTGTGATGTCATAACAAGGAAAACTCATAGAAGAAGATGTTAGAAAGAGAAATCTCTACCTCTGCAGGTCTGGTTCTCCCTTACGTATAAATACCTGAATCCTGCATCAAATCTACACTTTCTGATTATGTTCATTTGTCTGAAGAAACCTAAGATGACTTTTACATGGAAGCAGCATCATGTTCTTTTGTTTCCAAGCAGGAATTATTTCATCCTGGAAATTTGATCCTTTACAGAATCATTTTTATTTCATTCTTTGTTCTGTATAGTTTTATTTTTATTTTTTTGGGTGCAAAGACTTCCATTGTGTCACATTCATCTAACTTTCTATATTCAGATTTATCTCTGCTCTGCAAACCAGAATAAAACAGCTGAACTCTCACCAAGATCTGCAGAGGCCTGTAAAGATGGAGGACGCCGGCTTTTATTAAGACTTAATATGATTCAGTTCTGCTAGCTGAGATTTAGCCCTCACGCTTTAGCGTTGCCTTCATACAATAATTTAACTTTTTTGATCTCACATTGGAGTAATCCACCTCTGCATTTAACCCCTTGGGGAGCAACGGGATGCCATTGTGCGGCGCCCTGGGAGCAATCAGGGGTTAAGGGTCTTTGTTGGATTGTTTTACTGCAGCCGTGCTTCTCTTTACCCTGGAAGTCTGAAAACGACACACTGGGAGGAGAAATGTGTAAATATTTGTCTTCTTCCTTCTTGAAAAGATTCACGGCGTGCCGTTGGTGTTTACGCTCGGCGAGCCTGGAGACGGGACTTGTAGGGAGCGAACAGCAGCAGAGGAAGAGAGGTCGTGTTTGTGTGGGATGTAGAGAAATGCTGGACGTTCCTTCTGGACATTTAGCTGAATGTATCGTAATGATACCTGTTGTATTTTTTATTTAACTCCTAATCCGCTTATTATGTTTACGGCTTTGACATCATTTTAAGTGGTTTA